TCTGCTAATGTATACACATACCTGAATTCTTGGTGCTTGTGGAAAGCATCCAAAAATTTTTGAAATTTTTAGTGTTTTATTATGATATAGATAATTCAGTGTAATATTATCATTAGAGCAATTTTATGATATTATAATTTATGAGGGGACAAAAACACTGAACAAAGTTACCTAAAACTGAACTTCCAAAAATTTTTTTCTTAAATTTCATCTAGCTTTAAAGCTTGACTTTTTTCCACCTTATTGAAGTATAATTGATATATAAAACACAGCACATAATTAATGTATACAATTTGGTGATTTTGAATTCTGAACTACAGTTGGCAAAAACTGCCTCTGTCAATTTCAAAATCAGTATGCCTTTCATACTGATAGGCAATAAATATTAATTCACTACCTCTCCTGTGTCCAGAACCTCCAAGGATCCTATAGCCATACTACCACTGTCTCCAGATAGCAGAAAACATATTGATGTGGTTAGATACTTTAATTACAGAATACTTTGAATTTTTTTAAATTTAAAATCTGTTAATTAACATATAGTGTTATTAGTTTCAGAAGTAGAGTTCAGTGGTTCATCAGTTGCATATAACACCCAGTCCTCATTGCATCAAGTTCCCTCCTTAATGCCCATTACCCAGTTACCCCATCTACCCCCCACCTTCCCTTCTGCAACCCTCAGTTTGTTTCCTAGAATTAAGAATCTCTTATGGTTTGTCTCCCTCTCTGATTTCTTTAATTTTTAAAAAACAGAAGATATGGAGATCTCAAAGACTGTCCCTTGTAATAAGTATTGCTCCAATCATTTTATAAGAATTATCTCCTTTAATACAACAAATCTGTGAGGTAATCAGTCATATTATTATGTCTGTTATTATTTCTGTCATTTGTCAAATGAGGTAATAAAGGGTGAAAAATTTGCCCAAGATGAATCCCTCAGAAAGATGTGTATTCCAGATTTGAACTCTTGATCCCTGACTCCAGACCTTTGTTTTAATTCCCATCTCCACAGTAGTACCTAAACATTGGACCTGAAGCAGTTGTGTTTGCTGAAGCAAATTACTTTGAGACAATCATGTGTCTTTTAAACACGGACATATCAGGTACGTGGGGCTGAGCCCAGCAGGTCTGAGCTACTTGGAATAAAAGTCTGTGGGGCCTCCTGAATTTTTTCTATCTGTCCCTGTATTATTTCTATCTGCCTCTGGGGCTTTTGTTAGGCTGCTTGGACTGTGTCTCAGCCCTGCAGTGCTATAAACCACCTCCCCCCATGTCATTCTGTGTCCCAAGTGCTTAGCGGGGCCTGTTCAAGTGGAACCATTGTTTTCATTCATTTCACTTGGACATTCAAATCCTAACCTGCCAGGAGCTCCTGCACTGCCCTGAAGACTGCTGTGTGCACAAGTTGGTCTCAGGTCCCAATCCTGAGGCCCTGCGTGGGTTTCTGAGAAAAGAGCTCTCAGCTGAACCAAATGACTGGAGACATGATGAGATGTGTATCTCAGGGAATGTGTGAAAACAGCAGGGCTTAAAAATTAAAAAAAAAAAAAGATTAAAAAGAAAAAAAAACAGGGCAAAATAGGACAAAACAGGACTATGGCAGAGAAAATTCTCTGAGAATAGATATGGGACTGAGATGGGAAGTATTTGGTTATTCTTTCTACATGCATGGCCCCATTTTGAGTTATTCGATCTCATATATTTAAAATCATGCAGTACAATTTTAGTTTCTAATAGCACATATAGAATACTTGCACTATAAAACTAGAAGATATCATTCACTATGAGATGGTAGGACATGAACAGAATTGGGAGCCACACAGGTGGGGGCCTGAAAACAAAGGCTGCCCTATGACAGCTGCATAAGCTTGGACAGGTTAGAAAATCTCTGTTCCCTCCTGTGTGAGGGAGGAGATGGCACAGTAAAATATTACTTAGAACTTCACTGTCCAATATAGTAGCTATTATCCCTATGCAGCCATTTAAACTATATTTAAAATTAAATTTGGTCACTCAGTCAATCTAGCCACATTTCAAGTGCTCAAGAGCCACATGGGGCTTGGGGCACCTGCGTGGCTTTGTCAGTTGAGCAGCTAACTTTTGATTTAGCTCAGGTCATGATCTCAGGGTCATGAGATTGAGCCCCGTGGTAAAGCCTGCTTAAGATTCTTTTTCATCCTCTCTTTCTCTGCCCCTCCCCCATTTGTGCTGTGCTCCCTGTCTTAAGAAAGAAAGAAAGAAAGAAAGAAAGAAAGAAAGAAAGAAAGAAAGAAAGAAAAGGAAAGAAAGAAAAAAGAGCCATGTGGGGCCAATAGCTATCAAACTAGAATACTGAACAGCACATGCATGAAATCATCACAGAACATTCTAATGGACAGTGCCGGTCTATAAAAAGTGGATCAAATACAAATTAAACACAGTGCTAGGAACATATTACCATTTAACAAAATAATAATTCAAGGTTCGTATGTTTGTGAATCTGTAAAAAGCCTGATATATACAATGGCCTCCTTAATACCCACCACCAGGCTTGTATTGCATGGAGCACCGGGTGTGGTGCATAAACAATGAATCTTGGAACACTGAAAAAATAAAATTAAATTTAAATAAAAGCCAATATATAAACCCACTCTTTATGCTCTAAGTTGTTTTCCTGTGAAAATCTTTGGGGCTGCCAAAGAAATATCCACCAACCAATGCATTTATGAGAGGAAAGAGAATGCAAGTTAGACTTTGGAAGAACTGGCATCCCCAATACAAAACTCAGTAACTATACAAAGAAAAAAAAAATCACCAAGACTTCCTACAGTCATGGTGGAAAACAGCAATATTCTCATAATTACCAAATTAGAAAAAAGTGTTCCTTTTGAAAATATTGAGCTTAGCTCCTATGCCATGAGCAGAGTATCCCCTGATTTCTTTATGTCTTCCTAAATAAAACATGACTTTAATTTCTACAACTTTATTTAGTTTGACTTCTGGGGCAGATAACTTTTTATGTTGTTATAAATGTTATGAATTTTAAATGTTTAAGTGTTATTTAACTTAAATGGAAATACAAGTTTGGTATATTGTATTTCTATCCAATGTCCTTGCTAAATGTGCTTATTAAACTGAATGGTTTATCAGTAATTTTTTTCTCAACTTTTTGCTTTCTCCTACTAATAATTCTTTTACAATTATAACATCTTTTATTTATTTGCTTGCCTTATGGCACTGGCTAGAACTGACAATGATATATTTACTGAACAGCTCAGTTTTTTGTTTTATTTTTTTGCCTATTTATTTCACATGGAAAGCTTTAAAATCTTTCATTTAGGGAATAATTTTTAATTACAGATTTAATTGATGTAACAGTCCAGTATTTGTTTCTTTTTTTCTGCTATTTTTAATAATAGATGTGGCTTTAGAAATAAGACCATTTTGTATAAATATTCACACTTAATGACTAAACCTTGTTTCTGATATCCTCTCATGATTTTTCATGTCTATTATTAATGTAGAGATACCACTTTTTACAATTTCTGATATTATTTGAGGCTTCTTCATTTTTTCTTAATAAATTTAACCAGAAATTTAGGTCTCAATAATCCGTTTAAAGTATTATACTTGATTCATTACCCTTACTTCACATATGTTTTTTTTTTTTTATTAGTTGTTTCAATCTGATTTCTGTGCTACTATACAGATTTTCTCCCATTTTAAAATTTACGCCATAAATTCCAAGAAACTCATTCTGGCAAACAAAATCCAGTAATATATAAAATGATAAAACATTATAACACAGAAAGATTTGTTCCTGGGGGGAGGGAATGGTAAATTAAATATTTGAAAACCTGTCAATGCAAGTAATCACATTAAGAAGATAAAGAGGAAAAATAAGATTATTTCTCAATGCAGAAAACACATGATAAAATTCAGTACACACCCGTCATAAGTACTCTTAGCAAAGGAGGCATTATTATTTCATTTTTAAACTCATCTACTGAAATATATTTGCACAATGACAAAGAGCTCACAGAGAAAATTAAACAGCACCACTTGTGAGCAGAATGATAGAGAACACATTATGAAAGGCAGGGCTGTCACAATACCAGACAAACCTCCCTGAAAGACTGGGGAACAAAGGGCCACCATGAGTTAAGCGGGCAAGAGAAAATAAAAGCCAGGGTCACACAGAGGGCAGTAGCTTATTAAGCTGTGTCAGGATTCTATGAAGTCCGCAGCTTCTGCACAGTGGAAAGGGAGAATTGAAAATCACTACAAACTAAGACATCTGAGAGCACTAAAGCGGCCTCAGATCAGAAGCACTGCCTGCTAAAGCCTTGCCGGCAATGAGCATTCCCAAACTAAGCTTGTAAGAATTTCCTGAATGAAGACCGAAAGAAATCACGTCTTGTCAACAAAAAGCTTTCCACAGTGATAGTCACACGGCTAGAGGGGGAAAAAAAAATCACAAACACACAAAGACCCATGTAGGCATAAAATGGAGTGAACAGGAAAAAAAAAAAAGAAAAAAAAAAAAAAAAAAAAAAAAAAATTACGAAATTCATGAATGAGCTGTTCCAGCATAAACAGTGACCGGCGGGGAAGATTATGATTTTTAAAATAGACATATATGAAAAAACAATAAAGAACAATGTGTCTGAATGAACGCTGGAAGAGATTAAATTAAAACCTCCGAGAGTTGTGATTACGTCCTCCAGAGAAGCCCGCGAGCGAGAGGCTTTGGGATCGGCCAGCTGGCGTGCGGAAGAGCATGGGCAGAGGCCTGGGAAGGGGCGGGGAAGCCCCGACTGCCGAGAACAAAGGAGGTTACGGAACCACGGCACATGCCGTACAGACCGTACAGAACCGATAGAGGAGTGACGTTGCCCTCACCGGAAGTGTCCGCTGCGCCTGCCAGAGAGGAAGTAGGAACCAATAGTCACAGGAAGAGAGCCGGGGAGAGGAAAAGAGATGCACACTTCCTAGACAAGAGACTACGGTGCCGGCTCCGGCTCTCTGGGCCTCAAGCCGAAAGGAAGAGACACCGGGGAAGTTCCGGTACCCTCTGGGGTAGAAGAAGCTGCCATGGAAGAGCCTGCAGCTCCCTCTGAAGCCTCTGAGGCACCTGGGGCATCTACGGGTGCCGAGGCAGCCCGGGAGGGTGCATCTGGGCCTTCCCTCCGCACGCGCCCGGTCTTCCGGCAATTTTCAGCTGCAGGTCCGGCCCCCCTCCGCACGTCACGTCTGAGGCCTGCCCAGGCTGCAGGGGGAGGGGCTGGGCTCAGTCTCCTGCCGGGCCGGAGTGGTGGCAGCTGGACGAAGCAAGTCACCTGCAGGTATTATCTGCATGGGCTTTGCAAGGAGGGGGAGAACTGTCGTTACTCTCATGACCTCTCGGGCCGGCAGGTGGCCAGGGAGGGCCCTGGTCCTGCAGACCAAGGCCCTAGCACGGCTGCGCAAGCTGAGACCCTTCCTCAGGAAGTGGCGGAAGCCCCTCCCGCTGCATCCTCTTGCTCCTTGCCTGTGATTGGTTTGGCTGCTGAAGGGGGTTCCTTTGAAGCTGGGAGAGACAATGCAGGCCTTGAAGCTGCTGGAGGAGCAGGTGCGGAAGGCTGGGAGAATGCCATTGAGTTTGTTCCTGGGCAACCCTACCGGGGCCGCATGTTCCCTGTTGTTCCCAGCGTTCCTCCACAGAGCTCAGTGACTGAGAGGGAACAGATTGCAGTGGGCAGGGGGCCGCCGCTTTGCCGGGATGCTGCAATGGGGCAGTGCTTTCGTGGGGAGAGCTGCATGTATCTCCATGGAGAGATATGCGATATGTGTGGGCGTCAGGTCTTGCACCCTCTGGATCCTGTGCAGAGGGAACACCATATAAAGGCTTGCATTGAAGCACACGAGGAGGATATGGAACTCTCGTTTGCAGTGCAGCGAAGTATGGACAAAGTGTGTGGCATCTGCATGGAGGTTGTCTATGAGAAAGCCAACCCCAGTGATTGCCGCTTTGGCATCCTCTCCAACTGCAACCACACCTACTGTCTTAAGTGTATCCGCAGGTGGAGGACTGACAAACAGTTTGGCAACAGGATCGTCAAGTCCTGTCCACAGTGCAGGGTCACCTCCAACTTTGTCATTCCCAGTGAGTTCTGGGTGGAGGAGGAGGAAGAGAAGCAGAAACTTATTCAGCAGTACAAGGAGGCAATGAGCAACAAGACTTGCAGGTATTTTGCTGAAAGCAGGGGTTTCTGCCCATTTGGAGAGAACTGTTTTTACAAGCACGCAGACCCTGAGGGCCCGGGAGAGGATCCTCAGAGGCAGGGTGCTGGGGAATCCGGTGCTCACTGCAGTCAACTTTTGGAGCCTACTCAGGTGGGAGAGGGTGAGATGCCCTTTAAAAGCGGTAAAAAAGAGCTTGTCATGCTTCGGCTGGCCAATCTGTTGTTTAAGTGTTTTTTTTCACTGGCAGATGATGAGCTTTCTTTCTCAGAGGACCAGTGGGACTTGCTTCATTATGAGCTGGAAAATTTTTTTCAGTTTGAATCTGTGGCATTATGCTGTGGCATGTGGTCTGGTGTGCTAAGGCTCTGCCATCCGCTGTTGCTTGTTTTCTGTTTGTAGTCACATCTATCATTCACAGAGACTATTGAAGCCATTTTTATAAAGCATCCATCTCTGTTTTCTTGTCCATCCCCATTTCAAGGTTATGGTGCTTTACTGTGGTGAACTGTAACAAAAAGTCCTTAAAGTTATTGTTTGATGCAATGAATATTACTGTAGTTTATGGTTTATTTTGTCATCTCTGTTTTCAACAGGATTGACTCAGTTCTAGTCTAGTGTTTACAGAATTTCCACACTCATTTTGAAGTCCCTCAAGAATAAATGTGACAGGGTGAAGGGAGAAGTCTTAACTGAACAAGGAGCTTTTTTGCTACTACAGCCTTAAGAAATGGACCCTCGCAGGGCCTTTGTGGTACAACTGCTCATCTTTGTTGTTTACATGTCTGTTCCTTCCCTCATTCCCCTTCAAGTGCACTCTTGAACATGTGGTTACTTTGTGGTTTTGTGTTTTACTTGACCAGAACCAGGTGTGTATGTTTACATGTTTTTATCCTGTGAAGCTTGATGTGAAATTATTTATATTTGAAAGTATATATTTAATAATTATGTGTATGGATATAAATGTGTATAAAAGTTCTATCATTGAAAATATATATAAAAGATACACCATCATATAATATAGTATCTGGAAGAGCTGGAAGCTGACGGTGAAAAGCTAATAGGATTTGCTGTTGTGTTGAGTGTGAGGTGTGTAAATAATCATTCTGTCCTTTTCGCAGGCTCAGTGGTTAGCATCTAATGAAAACATATTCAAGTGGCTGTGATCAGTTGTAGCAGACACAGATAAAGCATTTACAAATTAAGACATTGGTAATTCCTATGATGGCATTAATAGCTCACTGTGCTATTATACATACAGAAATGTGTGTTCTCATGCTGTTTAGCATAGTATCATTATTCCTTATAACAGCACAATCAGTCCTGAACTCAGATAAACAGTTCCTTGTGTTCAATATTTTGTGGTATCTCTAGAAATTAAAAAAGGGGGCTTTTGACAAAAGTTTTCAATATATAAATGACAAGATTGTAAAAGATAGTAGAATAACAAAAGTATTGAAACCAGTTGTAATATAAGAATGGAAAGATTAAAAAAGTGAAATATATAAAGGGACAAAAACTAAATACAGTAGTGATCATAAGAATATAACACATTACACTATCAGGTTAAATGGATATGGCTTAAAAACTAACAGTCCAAGATTATCAGGCTTGATTAAAATTAAAATTAAATCATAAGCTGTTTAAAATACACAGCTACAACATAAGAATTCAGAAACATTAAAAGTAATAGGATGAAAAAATTAAGTAGCAATCCTGTGACTTCTGCAATAGATGAAGTTGATATTAAGGATAAACACATTGCTGGAGATAAGTTAGTATATAAACATTAAATTATAATTTACCTGGAAGATAGAACTTTTCCAATTTTGTATTCATTTAATAACACAGCATCAGATATACAAATAAATAATTGATAAGAAAAATACAAAATTTAAGTGGATAGTTTTCATACATTTTTTCATTAACAGAACAAGCAAATGAAGTAAATTGAACAGCACAGTTCTCACAGTTTATCTAATGTAAAATGTATAATGTTCTGTGTGGATTAACTGCAAAAAGTTCTTCTTTTGGCTAAGAGATGAAAATACACCAGATTTATGAGTTCCAGGAGATCCAGACTTCCTGACTATTCAGCAAAGACAGGGTACATTTACAGAGTTTGTGCCATGCACTAACACTCTCCAAAGCACAAATTTAATTCTCAGACCAAACTTATGAAGTACTTGCCATAATTTTCTCATAATCCTAATGAGGTAAATAAGGTAGAGAGGTTAAATTACTTGCCCATATGGCTATGACCCATAGGTTTAAATTAGTGGAACCACAAATGGAACTCAGTGGTATATTTGCAGAACACAGGCACCATGCTTCCTCTTCCCTCACCTACATGCCCAGAATCACCCGGACCCGCTGAATATTGTTAATGGTAACCTGTGTGCAGTCCTTAAGTAAGGATGGTTCAGCCACATGGGACAGATAAATTAGCTCCTAAGAGAATGCAGGGGCTATGGGGCTTTGTCTTTTGTCTTACAGACTCAGAATTTCTCTGTCCCTTACTCATAATATGCCTTAGCCTTCTTACAGGATTCCCGATTTTATTGCTAAGTATTTCAGTGCATTTCACTGGCATCTTTGCCATATTTCTTCCGAATTGATTGCTCTTATCCAAAGAATTCACCAGTCAAGAGGCTGTGAATGCCTCACAGTTACTTTCATGCAGGATGAGTGATTCCAAACAAAATTCAAACATGCTGGTTACCCCTGAGGCCACCCCAGGCATGCAGGGGAAAGAGGGCTCAGATGATCAAACAACCAAAGAAAAGGACCAGATGGGTCTCTCTCAAAGACTGTACTGACACCAAAGTCTCATGAGCTTTGAATAGTGGCTAAGCTGCCATTAAGGGGGGGTTTTTAAGCTGAGCTTGAAAAGCTTTGAAAACTTTGTCCTAATCTACACTACCTAATGTTCTGAAATAGCATGTTTTTATTCAAATAGCATCTTGTAACAATCATAATAAAGTTCAGCAGATACAGTAGAACAAGAATTGGCAGAAGATATAGTGGTTTTGGTGACAATGAATAGAATTAGAATCCTGACTCTGCTTCTTAACAGCCATGAAGTCTGGAACAAGTTACTTAAATTTTCTATACCTCAGTTTTTTTCTAATATGAGAAGTGGGTACAGTACCACCTATTTTGCAGGGTTGTTAAGATGATCAGGTGTAATCTGGACAAGAAACTTGAAACATAGATGGTATTTTTAAAGTGGCATGTGTAAAAGTAGTATTTATGCGTGTTTGTGACCTCAGAAGAACTTGTGCAAGAATTAATACTCCATGAAGTTTTTCTCTTCGGAAATCTTTGGAACTTGTGTTAAAGTTATTAAAATTATTGCTTTATGATTTTTTGTAGCATGGGGGCACATTACCTTTATAGTCATAATTTCAAAAGGATTGAGTAATTTTTCAACAAAAGTCATCCAGTTAAAACTAAAAATGTGCTATTCTTGAAATACAGTAAGCGACAACAAAAATGTATTATTTGTGATTGATGTCTACATGAGGAAAATAAATAAAATAATGTTTAAAAAATGGGATTTTCTGTTCCCTCATCAGCTCATTCAGAGGTCAAATAAAGGGATGTCACTGCCATCAGGTCTGGGAAAAGTGTTCCAAGGGCTTGCTCATGAAGACAGCAGGGCCACTCCTGTTGCAGTCAGAAACAAAGGAGCCCTTGCCACACAAAAGTTTGCTTTGTGAGTGATTCAGAGTGTGTGATGGACCCCCACTAGGCTTCTTAGGAATATGCTAACATTTTATCTAGTAAGGAGTGGTTATCTAGTATTCCTTCTGCTCTAACACATGGGAATCACTTTGTCTCATATGCCATTGAATCCATTTACTGAATTTCAAGAACTTAAAACATTTCCAGTCCATAGTTGGTATCCATATGCTTTTTTACTTTGCACCTGTAAACATCTTGGGGGGGTGTTTTTTCACAGTAGATGCTGAACCTCTCAACCTCAGTGTGAGATGGAGTTGGGGTGGGGATGGGTAAAGAGAGTCTTGGAAAATAACCCAGCACTAAAGCAAAAAAAAAAAAAATGCATGTAAGGATTTTTGCCATAAAAATATATAGTATATTACATTTTCCAGTATTGTATGGACACTAACGAAAAAATAACTATCGGGGGTGCCTGGGTGGTTGAGCATCTGCCTCCTGCTCAGGTCATGATCCCGGGGTCCTATAATTGAGCCCCACATCAGGCTCCTTGCTTGGCAGAGAACCTCCTTATCCCTCTGCCTACTTGTGTGCGCGCACTCTCTCTCTCTCTCTCTCTCTCTGAAAACTATAAATAAAAAACCTAAAAAACATAACAGATCATAATGAAACTGTCAGTTACATGAGAAATTAGTCTGGCAATATTCTCTGATGTCAATACAAGAAAATTAGCCACTACCACGTGAAGCTTATTTTATACATTTCTTTTAAAATAATTAGATGAAAGAATGAATTCAAAATAATATAACAGGACATAATAAGATAATAAAAAGTTATACTATAATTTGTAGGATGGTACTGAATCTCTGCTCAGAATAAAACTAATTTCTGAATACCAATATACATTGTCTAGAAAGACAAATCACAAATAGGTATTCAAATCTGTAAATTTTAAAGAAATTGCAACATAGAGGTAAGAGAAAGAATTAAGAATGACATTAGGAGAAGGAAAGGAAAAATGACAAGGGGGAAATCAGAGGGGGAGACAAACCATGAGAGACTATGGACTCCGAGAAACAAACAGGGTTTTAGAGGGGAGGGAGATGGGGGGACAGGTTGGCCAGGTGGTGGTTATTAAAGAGGGCACATATTTCATGGAGCACTGGGTATTAAATGTTAACAATGAATCTTGGAACACTATATCAAAAACTAATAACATACTGTATGGTGACTAACATAACATAATAAAGATAATAAAATATGTTCAATAAAATATAAAAAATTATTAAAGCAAAAATTAGTGGATCAGAAAATATAAATATAAAAATCAAAACTACCCCGATGATGACCGAGGTTGAGTACCTTTTCATATGTCTGTTAGCCATCTGTATGTCTTGTTAGAAAAATGTCTATTCATATCTTCTTCCCATTTTTAATTTTTAAATTTTTAAGTTTTTAATGTATTCATTTTTAGGTGTTGAGTTTTGAAGTTTTACAAGTTATTCATATATTTTATATACTCATCCTTTAGCATATATGTCATTTGCAGATATCATCTCCCATTCTGTAGGTTGCCTTTTGGTTTTATTAATTGTTTCCTTCACTGTACAGACACTATTTATTTATTTATTTGACAGAGAGAGAGAGCACAAGCAGGGGGAGAGCAGGCAGAGGGAGAGGGAGAAGCACGCTCCCCAGTGATCAGTGAATCTGATGTAGGACTTGATCCCAGGACTCTGGGATCATGACCTGAGCTGAACCAACTGAGCCATCCAGGAAAGGCACCCAGTAAAGGCACCCAGAGGCTTTTTATTTTGATGAAGTTCCAATCATTTTATTTTTGCTTTTGTTTCCCTTACCTCAGGAGACCTATCTAGTAAGAGGTTGCTACAGGTGATGTCGTAGAGTTACTGCCTGTGTTCTTATTTAGGATTTTTATGATTTCAGTTCTCCTATCTGGGCCTTTAATCCATTTTGAATTTTTTTTTTTTGGATGGTGTAAGAAAATGATCCAATTTCATTCATTCTTCTGCATGTTGCTGTCTGGTTTTTCTAACACGTTGTTTAAGAAACTTTTTTTCCACTGGATACTCTGTCCTGTTTTGTCAAAGATTAATTGACCAAATAGTTGTAGGTTCATTTCTGGGTTTTCCATTCTGTTCTACTGATCTATGTGTCTGGTTTTTTTTTTGTGCCAGCACCATACTGTTCTGATCTCTTGTAATATAACTTGAAGTCTGGGATTGTGATACCTCCAGCCTTGCCGTTCTTTTTCAAGATTTCTTTGGCTTTTTGGGGCCCTTTGTGGTCCCACACAAATTTTAGGATAGTTTGTTCTAGCTCTGTGAGAAAAAGCTATTTGTGTTTTGATAAGGATTGCATTACATTTATAGATTGTGTTGGGTAGTATATGTATACTTTTTTTTAATGCACACAGAATAACATGTAACTAAGAAAGTAAATAAAGGAGATGAATGGAGACTAAAATATTACATATTAAGGCTGATTTGAGTTTTTGAAAACAATTTATAAAATAAACCGTTATCTAAATTAAGAAAATCTGAGGAAAAATAGAAACAAAAATCACTTATATAATCACACACATACACAGTCACGCACACACATAAACACTTATCCAATAGGAAGAATTCACCACAATCTGAGATTCTTGTAAAAATATATAAGAAAAAACATTACTCAATCAGATGCCAATTAATTGCAATACCTGAGAGAAGTGATAATTTTCTAGGCAAATATAATTAAGCACTGACTACAAAATACATTAAACTGTAACCTGTCATTTAACATATAATTCATAAAATATTTCCTACTATGCAGTTTAACCTAAAAA